ACCGTTCGTATTCCTAGTCGATGTTGTCCATCACGGTATCTCGCCATGAGCCGGATATCGAAGGAAACAGATCCCAGTTGGTGGTATTCATGGGACGATATTTCCTGAACTTGACGGCTCTCTCTCCATTCCGCGGAAAGTAGAATTTGGCGCGCAGGAGACGATGGTCTGATCCCGTGTAGAACTTCGGAACAACAGCGACGTCCGTCAGGCAGTACCTTCTGTTGACGATGATGTGGTCAATCTCGTTATGGTACTCTCCACCGGGCGATTCCCAGGTCCAGCGTAGGGAAGAGGGCTTTTGGAACTGTGAGTTTTCATGGATAGTCCTCGTCGTCATGATAAACTCGGACAGTCTCTCCCCTTGTTCGTTCCACTGCAAACCATGGGTTCCGATGTGAAGTTCCTCAGTCGACCTTCTAGTTCCGATCTTCGCGTTGAAATCACCGACGATGATCTTGTAGAAGGTATGATCTTCTCTGTAGAACTTCTCCAAGTCCATATAAAATTCCTCGAGTTCGTCCTCATCGTAGCTGGATGTTGGGGCGTACGCAATGAAGACGGTCAAGGTAGGGATTGATCTACATCTTGATATTCGCAAACGTCCGATTCGAGTTGTAAGTTGTTCGAACGAATCGATGTTCATGGCCAAACTCGTGTTGACAAGGACTCCCACTCCACCTACTCCTCGACTGTCGCATGTTCCTAGAAACAGTCCTTCTCCAGTCTCAAATGTGGCGTTCAGCGGGTGGTGCCTCCTTGTCTCGGTCAGTCCGATGACGTCGTACTTAATCTTCATTGCTTGCATCATGAGATCTTTGATAGATGCGTCCGATGCCAGCGTCCTCGCGTTGTAAGTACAGATCGTCATCATAGTCCGTCTCGTTTTCGGCAGCCTAGATCGCCTTTCAAACCTTGTCCCCACTGGCGCTGCCTTACCAGTGGCTCTTCCAAGATTAAAGGAGCTTTCCATATTATCACTGTGTCGAACAAGAATTTACTCGCAGGGATAGCTTGTTGGGCTCAAATCCCCCGCGAGGGACGAGCTCTCTGATATCTACTCTAATTCACTCTTGGGACCGAGCTGATCGGAAGATCATTAAGTTAAAATGTCCTGAACTTAGATCCAAATGAATACCCATTGTGACCGAATACCGGAAGTCAGAAGATGAGCAAGATCGACCGGTCACTCTGCATATTAGTCTGCAACTTCTTGCGTGTATTCTCATTATGCAAAAATCGCATCTTTAGTAGGACTTAATTTTCTGGCAAATGTGAAATCCTAAATGAGCATTGCCCATCTTACGGTCTAGGAAGCAAGTCATCCAATATTGAAAGCAGAGCGTTTCAACATACTTCAACATCGGTACCCTGTTTCGCTTACTTATACAGGGTGTCCCAAAAAAATGTTTAGAACGTTTGATCGTTAATATCTCTCTTTTCAAGAAGTCTTTTGCCTTGCTTCAGGTACCGTTTTGTAGAGCTGGCTTCAACTTAGATTTCCATTATAGAACGAATCACCCATCTCTCTTCATTACTGTAGGGTTACGGTAGAAACTTCAAAGAGGGTTTTGAACCATGAAAAGCCATATTTTGCCTCAGAAAGGAAACAAAACAGCCTGAAAACTTTTACACCAGGCTAATTAGAACTGCTGATTATAACTGTAAAGTTCCCAACTTATTATGATGCTTCATTGAAGAGTTATGCCAGGTGAGAGGTAGCGGCCTTTTTTTCAATGTTCCTAAAAAGTGCGATTACACCGTTTAGAAAGCTTCGTAATCTTGTGAATAGTTGAGTATTGAACTCAGCGTCTATAAAATAGTTGAGTTTTGAACTCAGCGTCGCCTATTACACAAGTTTTCACAATTTTTTGAAAAATTTTGAAACGGCAGCTTTTTCCACATTGACACCATATGTTTCAAGTTTCTACCGTAACCCTACAGTAATGAAGAGAGATGGGTGATTCGTTCTACAATGGAAATCTAAGTTGAAGCCAGCTCTACAAAACGGTACCTGAAGCAAGGCAAAAGACTTCTTGGGAAGAGATATTAATGATCAAACGTTCTAACGTCATTTTTTTGGGACACCCTGTATATAAAGGGATATACAGGGTTAATCAGCGCTCGTTCTCCAAGGGCGTCATTCAGAACCAAAAGGCCCAAGCCCATGCAAAATAAGTATCAGAATCAAAAGCAAATCTCGGCATATCAACCCTATCAGAATCAGTACTCCACCAACTCCAACTGATAACCCTGGAGCGCCATAAGAGCAAGTTTTTGATTTGCCAGTCAATCGAATCCGGATCGCTATGGAAAGAGGTCACAAAATCTCCGAATTTTTTAACATCCAGACATAGATAAAGAATCTCGAAGAAGCCGATATGGCTACTAATACTATCAAATTCTCCTCGACCTTCAAGAATTTTAGCACAAATGCGCCTTTGCATCATTGATCAATCAATCTCTCAAAGGCGGCGGCTCGGGAAAATTGCGACTGCGGGCTTTTCACGACTACATGGCCTGGACCACCTGAGTCCGTTACTGCGCTTGAAAAGTCAAAAAAGTGCTATTTGGCGTTTCCGGGCTTTGGAGATTGCTGGAGGGGCGGGGCGAGAGATTCACCCCAAAAGGAGCAAATGGCTCCTAGAGACTGTAACTCCACCTATTTTGGCGGCAATTGGCTGATCAGCTTAGGCAGCCATCAATTTTTTTTTTACAATTTTCAAACGTGTAACAATACAAACGTAAATAATCAACGTGCTAGAAGCTTTATTTTCAAGCGAACATAGCATTCCTTAGTCTGTTTTTTTGAACAGAGTTACGATTTTTCTCGATTTTTTGAAGCTGAACTTTCTTAGTGCTTGGCTTCTAATTCGGAGAGTATGCAAAAACAAAAACGATATCTTGCAAAGCTTGTTTTGCTCTATAGAATGGTATTCGAGTTTTTATTTGGAGATTGGAAGTATATAAATTAATATGGTTAGAATTTGAAACGGGCGTTAATTTCTGGACCGCCTAATACAGGGTGGTCCACATGAAGTGTGACACAACAAAAAATATTACAACTTTGCAAGGATCAAATGAAATCAGAAGGTTCTGTCCTCGTCTGATAGAGAAGAAGATTCTGTATAAGAACTTCTAGCTAACTTTTAGATACCTGTCCCTAGTTGTTTCAAAATCATTTTTTCTCCTTCAAACCTCTTCCAAATTTCTTCGATTTGCGCGCGATGGTTTCTGCTTCCAAACTTTCACCAGGTTTCTCGTCGGCAAATCAAATGACATGAATTTTAAAAGGCAGACTCTTTTCTTCCAAACAGACAAAAAAGAGGGTTTGTAGGTTTAAGGATGAGTGAGCTAGAGGGCCAAATATCATTTTTTTTCCACTGTTGAAACGATGGATTATACACAACTGCAATTTCTTTCGCTGTGGATTGGTGTCTCGTCAAACTAAAAATTTCCAAAAGCGTCCATAGTATTTCCCTTGATCCAGTAAGGTGCCACAGCCTTTCAAAGTTTGCTTTCGATGCTTTTTCCAGAATCTTAGAAAATTGCGATTTTCGTTGTAATGGCGACTGCCTTTGAAAAACCTTCGAGCTTGACCATGTTTTACTAAGAACCGAAGTCGGAAACAACCACAGCGGGATAAAAGAATATGGAGAAGACGAATATCTTTGAAACGCGGAATGAAATAGACCAAACAATGGTTTTTTCGCAGTCCATCAAACTTCATATTTGCCACATATGAACAAACAATGTTTGGCCTTCCAAATCGAACATTCTTAAACCCACGATTCTTCCCCTGTTCTGTCTGTAAGCAAAAAGTCCGCTTTTCCAAACCCAGGCCATAAGATTTGCTAAAGGAGACTTAGTAGAGCCTGGGACGAAATATCCTCAAAACCATTGTGCGCATTTTGCGAGTTTCTCCGAGCAGAATAAATTCTGTCATCAAAGGCGGAGATGGATTTCTTGGAAGTAATCTATAACGACCTATACAGATTCTTTTTGTCTACCGTATAAAAATAAAATCGTTCATTTTCATTGAGTTTAGGCGAATTTACGAAGAATTTTGTCCCGCCACATTTCTTGTGGACCACCCTGCATGTTTTTAGTACATTGATTGTCAGTAATTGAATAGAATTGATTGTCGCTTGGCTTATTTTATAATGCCGATATGCTCGGAAATTCCAAAATTTGCTATAAATTAGTAGTATAAAACTGCGGCAAGTGCTGTCTAGAGAAAGAGTGAGTTGACACATCTTAGACTACGAGACGAATAAACCGCAGTTTATCCTACAATTATACGTGTAAAAGGAGAAGAAATTGAAATCAGGTAATTAGCTTTAGATTAACTTTGTATGCTTTGACAACAATATGATCAAAGCAACAGATGGAAACAATATGCACAAGAGCGCAGCGTATATAGACTATGTTCTTCCGTATAAGCATAATGTTGTGTTTAGTCTTGTGGAAAGGTAATACTCGGACATTGCATTGAGATAACCTTTTTGTTTCGACGTAAGCACCGATCAGTGTATGCTGCACACCGGATGGATAGAAGCAATCTCCACAAAATTTAGGTAAACAGAAGCATAATCAGTGTCTTTTATGAAAATAGACAAATTTCTAAAGCATTGATTTTGACCTAACCCAAATCTTCAACTTTTATAAATTACGACTCCCCTTCTAACATTCTCCAATTTGAGGTGTAGAAATACTCACGTATTTACATGCATAGTTTGTATGGAGTTTGAGCTCAAACAAAAGGAAAACGAGATAATCGAAAGGCAAACGCTTCCCCCATCGATTCTAGGCCCCTCCCGCTTGCTTAAATATTAGCTACAGGCGGGCGAGACTACAGCCGCAAATTTACGGGGAATGTACATGCGTGAATTTCTAGAAATAGCAGTTAGTTTGAGAATATCCGGGAGCTTTCGAGCCAACATAGTAATTTGCATAGATGACTTATATAACCGCAGGATTACGAAGAAAACTTGAAATATTGACAATTTTTATGCATTGCTCTTCAAGTCTCATAAAAGCTGAAAGAGAGATTTTTGATAATGCCTAGCGTTCTTGAAGACGTTCTGTTGTCGCCTCGCCTGAATAATGTTTATTATAGTAAAATGAATAGAAGTTGTATTCTTACTTGTGAAAAATTCTGCAACCGCAGGAAACTTTTCCTTGATATTCTCCTTGGCGTCATCAGATAAGGCATTGAACTCTTCAATGTAGTCCAGTGCAGAAGGAGGCGATGCTTTGAACTGGTCAAAGTTCCACACTAGTTTCCCTAACTAAACACAAATTTCCCTCGTATCAAAAAATGAACAAACAGCCTACATCGCTAACAAACGCTTGCAGTTCGGGCTCAGCAGCTAACTTCTCAAAATCGAATAAGCTCTTCAATCTTGCTCCAAGATCTGGAGACTTCTTCGTCACTTCAAGAAAAATCTGCAATATGAACTTGTAAATTTATTCATAGAATGAACAAAAATCTGAACAAAACATCGGTCCGCGTCTTTCTAATTAACGTAACATAATCACTAAAATCCTGGAAGTTTGTGTAACAGCCTGATCATTCAACTGCCTCCTCTATGACACCAACAGGGACAAGCAGGAGTGTGGCGTACAACCGCTGGGCACGACCCCTCCCCCTTCCCCTCTTAAGGAGACGGTTAAGAGGCGCGATTGCTAGTTGCCACAAATTTGAAGGTATTTACATTTTTGTGCCACGCAAATCTTCAAGAAGTTCCAGACAAGGTGGTTTAGGTCACTAGGTGTTCGAATTCCACCTGCCAAGGCGGTTTAGCTTACTAAGTGCTCGAAATTCCACCTGCTAAATTTGACGGTTTTTGCTGCAAAATGAGCGGAATATCTGCGATAGGTTTGCTGATTGCATTTTCAAGTGTTTTTCACCCCTGACCTTTATGTTTCTGACTTTTTTCCCGAGATGAAAATGCTGATAAAACGCAACTTTAGTTGTGTCTAACTAAAAGCTAAAATGCCTTCGAACTCCAGAAACTCCAAATGTGTGCAATTTGTTGTCCAACTGGCAATAAAAATCGCGTCTCTCACAAATTCCCCTTTCTCTTCCTATTGCTGTCTCGGTATATCCTCAGCATTACTGTCTATCTACCTAGGCATGATATGAGGCCTACCAAGCATAATAAGCAAAATACTCGTAATTGGCATGTCGAGTAACTTTCTAGACCAGGCTTTAGCCAATTCTGAGGTTTCCAGACATGGAGCCATTCCATCTGTAGTGGCCATTCTCAAACATCATTATTTCTGTTTTAAAGGTGAATTGGCTGAAACTTTCTGCACTCATCACAAGGCACTGCTCCTTTTTTGCCTATGAAAGTATTCTTACTCAAAATAACTGCTAAACTATGGAACTAGGAGCCGCTAAAATCTCGCTTTTCCGTTTTTCACTTTCCGTGGTTGTGATCAACTGCTACACAGACTAAGGAAGACGAACCAGGCAACTTATTTCCCTGAAAACTGCGGGATTCAAGCTGTCCAGCTATGTGACAGACGAATAAGGCACATTACTCTCGTGAAAACTACGAGATCTAAACTGTTCAACCATGTAAATATTATTCGCTAAAGTTTTCATGGAGGTAAGTTAATGAAGTGTAGGACCTCAAAAGAGTCTCCTTTTCACAGCATTTTAAGGTTGTGCCAAGAGACATTGAGTTGCCTCTAAAAATCCATAAATCGAAGTGTTTGTATCGTCAAAACCGTTAGTACTTCCTCTGTTCATTGTAATTTTATCTGCAGTTTTCTCTCCTAAATGAGCATATGACCTTTCTTCAGCATATAACCGTTTCTCTACGTTTCTATGTTCATGGATAAATAAGTTTAAAACCTGTTAAACCTACTACGCTGCTACGCATACTGCGACGAAAGGTTGCACTTATACATTTTTAAATAGCTCAGATGTTTTCACAGGAGTAATTTGAGTCTGACTCGTCTTCTTCAATCGTTACAATAATGGCTGAAAGCACAACAACTGAACGCAAAAATAAGACAAAGGAGATTTTGGCTGGTTCATGATTTCATACTTCAGAATTCATCTATAGTAAGATTTTTTAGGTGGCAGAGAATAAGTAGGGCTCTGTTCATTAAGTGCGAAAAGAGATAATACTAATTTGATTTCAAAGCGAAGATATTGTTCAAAAATGGTCATTTGACTTGGGAGGAGGCCCAGTATTTGGGAACCTCAGACGCTAAAGTGGTCCAGAGGAGTTATTTGACGTGCTATATAAAAACAATACTTATCATGCTTGATGGCTTCTTATGCTTACTGTTTCGTATACGATGATAGGTCAGATATTTCAATATGCCTCTATTTTGCATAATTGGCTTATTTCAGATCGCAATATCATATTATGTTAACATCGTTATCACCTAAATTACGATCCCCTTCCCTCTCCAAACCCTCAATACGACTTCCATGGTAAAATGGTCCACATCCAACTTGACTGCCTATTATCCATTTGTTAGTGTCCATCATGTTATGTTTTGAGTACAGCTCATATGTTTTTACTTGCATTAATCTCGATATACGACGCTCTTGAATGGCTCTGCAAAAAATTTGCAAATTCACTAGCAGAGACATCTCATCTTGGTACATATCAGTGAATGACTCAGCAGAGTCATTCACTGATATGTACCATCGTTCACTGCATGTAGTAGGAAGCACCTGTGGCACATGAAGCGTCTCAATTAAATTTATTCTGAGCTAAAAAGCACAAGCAGCAAATCGAGACTGCATTTTTGGAAGTTCTCTTCCGTTGAAGAAGATATCTTATCTTCTTAGAAATGACAACAAAGTTTGGCGATGCGGTGCTTGCACAAACATAACAGAGAGCAAATTGATTCTATGCTCTAGTTGAGCGCGAAAACATAATTGCGGATTCAACTGGCTAGAGCTGTTGGGCTCCGCTTATTATCGAGCTTCTTGTCATTGTACCTCGAAAAGAATGGGTTTCGATGTTATCTTCATTTAAAGCGCAGATATCGGAGCCAGATACCATACTACACTAACACTTCCCCTATTCTAGTCGTGTCCGCTTTGCTTGTTAACTGTGAGCTGTATGTAGAGATTCATTTGTAACAACCTTCACTTGTTGGAAAAAAAGCCTGAATTTTAAGTTCTGCAAACTGGTACAGTCTACTTACATGTTAAATTTTACTGAAGTCATTAGTTTGACTCAACATTACCTTCATTGTTGACCTATCAATAGATAAGGGCTAGGAGTACGGCAATTTTGCGCTGCCCAGAACCTCCTTATGGATGTGTACCATTACTCACTTACGAAGGAGAACAGTAGCTTCATTCATCAACGAACTCAGTGGGTTCCGAGACCCCTCGGGTTCGCAAACCCAGTGGGTTCGTGGGTTCGCGAACCCACTGGGTAAGATCGGTATTCATAAGTGCCCAGCTGGGTTCGCTAGCCCATGACGTCACCAATGCGCCTAGTCGGTGTACTACTTTCCTCATCTCTCGACACACACGGATCGCGCTAAACAAACCCAGCACGCTTGACACGCGGGAGCTCTTATGTTCGATGAATGACATCAATCAATGTCTTTTGTACTACAAAACTTATATTGCCTTCATTCTGTTCTTTGTCCGAGTATTCTCTCGGACCCAGACATGACTATCAACTATAATATGTGCGACAGGGAGAAGTCTATGCTTTTTTGTGCAAGTGATTTTTCTTGTTTAACATTGTCCCTTACCTGATAAGGGAGATATTAGCCCTATATCTGAAGATTGCAAAACATAGCTGACATAACAAATTGCGTTAGACAGCTGTCATGAGTAGCTAAGTTTTATTTTATGGAGGATTCTGCTATATATATAACAAGTATATCTATGCTTTTTTCCAAATGACTGGCAAGGTGCATATTCGTAAGAAGCGCTAAAGTCTTTGTCCATTTGTAGTTCTTGTGCGAGGACGCCCGAAAGGTAAGGGGAGTCGCTCTCCTTAGGGAATGTTCAAGTCTTAACCCAGCTATACCATACATGCTGGTAATCATCAGACTCGTCTTGAAACGTTGATCACAAATATATGTCTATTATCGCCAAGCGGCTACCTGGGAAGAGTTGTGAGCGTCTAATGAGCGATTTGTCAAGTGTTATGTGGTGCATGTTCCACAAATTAGGTTTCAAAAACACTTTTTCAGGTTTTTGGTGGTGCTTGTTCCTTATAATTAAATTGGCCGTAGCTGTAAATCCGCGCCATCAGGCTGCCTTTTAAGGGAATATATGGTACTTTTCGTTATCCGGACCCATTTTTTCAAAAAGCCCTTAAAAAATACGTTCTGTAGCCCAAGCACAATTTTCATAGATTCTACGAGGACTGCCTCCCCGCCACGTGTGAGGAAAAAACTGACACGTTCTAGTCCACTTTGATATGTTTATTCGAAATCATTTTTGGTGAGGTAAAAGAGCATTTGTAACCACTTAAAAGCTGTCCAGCTGATTTGAATAAGAGCAAAACAATCTGGAACCATTACTAGAATATCTTGATTGCTTCTAGCAATGATTCGAGAATGTATTTCTCTTCAAACTTTCCGCCATGCAAGTTTAGCCAGAAAAGTCTACAAATGATGGCTTGAAGTAGTACCTTGGTGTTGCTTTTCGCCGCATACATGATGGAACCCTGGCGCACTTCTCCATTTTGGGCATGTATAGTATGTTCATTGATAAGAGGGCGACGTTATTATTATAACGATGTCATGTTTGAAAATGTGCAGTCCAAAATAGGACCATTATTGACCAAAAAAGGTTGAACTTATGTTGCTAGGTAGGGCAACACGAACTCTTGGTAAAACTTGTTAAACATGTAGATGGCATGTCAAGTTTTTTTGACACGTGGCAGAAGGTTGACACTCTCTCCTATGAAGTTGGGAACATATATTGTGCAAGGAAAGAAGCAGTATCCTTCTTTGAAAAAATGGGTCCGGATAACGGAAAAGTACCGAATATATTTATCGAAACTTGATAAATTTCTAATATTTGAATGCTCATAACTCTCCCCAGATAGCCGCTTGGCAGATAAAAAGCACATATTGAGTCGCTTGACAGATGTAAACACATATTTGAAATGAGCATTTTTGGACGAATCCGATGATATACAGCTGTTTGGAATGGCTGGGTTAAGTTCATTTCCATCTTAGACTGGAATTTGTAAAGGGGTCGACAAAGTTCTAATCTGATGCAAATTAACACGTGATTACCATGATTACCTTGTTCCCTTCCCGCTGATTATTACTCCACCAATTGAAGGAACAAACAATTTTGACTAAAAACAGCTTTTTTCTTTTTTTTTCTATAGCGTTTGTCTGCTGACTTAATCGGATTGAACGCCAAAACTTCTCTTTTCAGTTTCGGAGTAGACGAACATAAAAAAAAAACATGGACAAATACAGACAGTCAA